AAGAGGGGGAGGTGAGATAAAGAGCGCTGACACTCACACGTTCACACTCACACTAGTGCTTTTAGAAGCGTTGGCGTTTTTATTATATCTTTTTGCAGGACGCGAAAGATCCTTCCTCGTAAAAAGAGCAATATCCTGTTTCTCTTTATTTTCTGCTTTATTTCGAATACCACTCCTTTCCCCATTGCGCTTTTCTCCCGGTCTTTTAGCCATCCACACACAAGGCAAAAGCAGTGGGATCGTTTATTTATTCCTCCACACGGGAGAGTGGATGTACGTGCCACCCAGGTTACGTTGGATGCACACTTACCTTACTGCTCCCGATGTTTAGATGACCTGTGTAATGGCGGCTACCATTCTTGCTTGTTTTTCCCCCTAGATTTTTGCCACTTTTGTGCAAAAGAACTTACAAAGCAAAATCGGACAAATTCGGTATTGTTTTCACTCCGTCGTCGAAATCAAATGCTGTTCAGAAATTAACTGCTAAGATACCAAACCGGAAAATGTATGAACATTTGACCTTTAAAAATAAAAAAGTGATAAGATGTGAAAATCTATGAGATTTTGTCTTCCCAGTATGATATGGGTATAGCATAAAATGTTTACTGTATATGCGTTTCATTTTGAGTCTGCTCGGTGAAACGTATTTACTGTGGACTCGCACGACAACAGCACGTCGAATTAAACCTTTATTCTTTCTTATTTCCTTAAGATGCCTCTTTTCACAGCCCCATACAACTTTCTGTCTCTGTCCGATCCTGCAGACTCGACTGGTTGAACCAGTGTACATCCCTCTTTTCAGACATGTAGGCACTCCTCTTAGGCGTTGCTTCACAGAAGGGAAACAACCCCGCGGATTTCGCGGATGTTGGAAAAATTGTCTCTGCCCAGCACTCACTCAAGGCACGCGCGGAAGAAAGGCGATCACAACGAGTAAACACGAGGATTCGGAATAATCTGGCAAATGAGTCGGTGTGCTTATCGAGGGCTCTGTGTGCAAGTTCCCCAGAGAGATATCGGGTTAGTGCCCTTTGTTTGTGCGGGCTTCCGAAGAGGGCAGAAATCACGACTTTTTGCTATGAAATCCCCTCTAGATCTTCTAGCTTTTCCGCGTTGAGAACGCGATGGCAGTTAATGAGAACGTTATCAGCTGGGATCGGCAGTAACTCTCGATCTGTCTCGAAAGATTCATCATTACGCTGTGCGGATTACTTTGGATATATGAAAGATTATTTTCACAATTTTGTGACGCCTTTTTCGAAAGTGTCAAACGCTGTGTATTCGCTTTTGTTTTTGAAAGTCGATTTTTTCATTATCAGGTTTTATTGTGTTGTTTTTTTTCCTATTCGTTGGGTATGTCATTTGAGTTGTAACGATTTCATCTGGCGTGTGATTTGATTTTGATTATCAGAAATGGTGGTATGTAACGACATGCAGAGTTCCCCGCTCAGTTTTCTATTCGGGTAATGTTTTCGCCTTTGTGAAGAAGGTGTTCTTCACGTAAACTGAAAGCACTTATATGTGTGGATATTTGTGAAAATCCAGACGATCGTTTTTCAATCCGGATTGTGAATTTCGTTTTGATCCCGTTATTATTATTACAATCTGGCGCACCCTTGTACGACTACTTTCATGGACACTGATTATTGTATGCATGGACTCGTATTTTCATGTTGAAAAACCATCAGGATGTAAACCAAGCGAGAAAGAGAGTGAGAGAGAGGGATGAAGAGAGAAAGAGATGTAGGGAGGGAGAGGCGTGGAGAGAGGCGGAGAGAGAGAAGAAGAAAAAATGCGTTAGGGTTTACTACGAGTCTGCAAAAATGGTGAGCTTATAATGTGCAGAGAACGAAATAGAGAAAGAGAGAGAGAAGGGGGGGAGAGAAAAAATAAAAAGAAGTGAGAGAGAAAGAAAGATAGCGAGAGAAGCTGGGAGAGGAGAGTTTGTAATGAAGGAGAGGTAAACGAGTTCGTCCTTGGATTGTTTCTGGTTCTGTTTGCTCGGGTTCATCTCTTCCTGTTGTAGGCTTAGTTTACCACAGTAGACATGGATGAGATTAACAGAGA